TGAGTCTGGGGGGCACAGGCTGAGGTGCCAGGCAAGCGACTGGTGTGCTCACCACTTAGGAGACCGCTACATGGTGGCAGACTGTGGGGGAGGCACGGTGGACCTGACAGTGCACCAGCTTGAGCAGCCCCACGGCACCCTCAAGGAGCTCTACAAGGCGTCTGGTGAGTAGCGGGCAGGGCCACACGGGTCACCAGCTGCCCTCGCCTCCCTAAGGCCCCTGGCCGCAGGGGTTTGGTGCTGACTCCCCTTGCGCCCCCTCCCACCCAGGTGGCCCCTATGGCGCTGTGGGAGTGGACCTGGCCTTCGAGCAGCTGCTGGGCCGCATCTTCGGGGAGGACTTCATTGCCACTTTCAAGAGGCAGCGGCCAGCAGCCTGGGTGGATCTGACGATTGCCTTCGAGGCCCGCAAACGCACGGCAGCCCCACACCGTGTGGGGGCGCTCAACATCTCTCTGCCCTTCTCCTTCATTGACTTCTACCGCAAGCAGCGAGGCCACAATGTGGAGACCGCCCTGCGCAGAAGCAGGTGGGCCTGGGGACCTGTTCTGGGCAGTTTGCTAAAGGGGAGCATCCCTGCAAGGGAGTGAGTGGCCATGAGGGGCAGAGGGGACTCATCTGATCCACCCCACTTCCTCCACCACCCCTCTGGCCTCACACACCAGCCATGATGGCAGGAGGGAAGCCCATGAGCACCGCAGCTGGAATATGACCAACACCTGTCTCTCCTGCACACACACAAAGCAAACTCTTGCAACCAATGCCCTTGACTCCTGCCTGGAGACAAAGGGCTTCTCCCTTGGGACTCACACCTGGAACTGAAGCAGGACAGGGGCTCTGCTCAGTCCTTGGGAGGGGGGTTGGAATCACACAACACGCAGTCCTGGGGGCAGGAACTGACACGTGGGCCTGTGTCACCTACAGCGTGAACTTCGTGAAGTGGTCCTCACAGGGGATGCTCAGGATGACTTGTGAGGCCATGAACGAGCTCTTTCAGCCCACCGTCAACGGCATCATCCAGCACATAGGTGAGTCCCTGAGCTTGGGTCCTGCGTTCACCCCTACATACACAGCTAGGTGCGGGAATCGTTTCTCCGGGGTGCTTGGAAATTACGTGTCCTCACACTGGTGGGAAATCCTGAGTTATCCAAACACCTGGAGGATGTAGTGCAGTGCAGTGGTGATTAAGAGCTGGGAGGGATGACGCATAATTTTTTAAAAATTTATTTACGCATACAAGAACTGAGGTGTAGGCCAGAGGTACAGGGGCTGAGGGGGTTCATCAGAGACAGTGGGGAGCAGAACAGGCAGATGCACTGAAATACACTGCTGAGGGGAGCAGCAGGCTAAAAGGGAGAATTCTGCTGTGCCACAGGGTTCAGCTCTAGGGGACAGCTTGATAGCGCTGACGAAAACCCCTGCGCCACCAAGGAGGCCTGATGATGTGTAATCTTAAGAGGTTAAAGAAGTTCTGGTGCTTCAGTTCCTAATGTCTAAAATGGGGTGGTGGTATTGGGTTCCCAGTTCATCAAGCTCAAGGATTTTAACGTGCTTGAGTGTCTAGGGCGTGAGCACAATGTCTTGCATGTAGTAGGCACTTACTATCTATACACGTGCGGTCTTGTCTCAGACCCTCCACATCGTGGAGGGAGAGAAGAGTGTGTGTGAAAATACTGGGGGGTCAGAGCCCATGACCTTTGCCAGGAGCCCTCAAGGAAAGTACTGTGTCCTCATGGGGACAGGCTATGACTTCGTAAAAGAATTGGCTCCTTTATAGTTGCCAGGAGGAGGAGTGGTCTCAGCGACCGGTGCTCTCTCTCTCTCCCCATCTCTCCTCCCCCCCACCACTCCCCTCCAACCCCTCTCCCTCCCTCCCCCTCCCTCCCCTCCACCCTGCTCCCGCAGAGGCACTGCTAGCGAGGCCGGAGGTGCAGGGTGTGAAGCTGCTGTTCCTGGTGGGTGGTTTCGCCGAGTCGGCGGTGCTGCAGCATGCGGTGCAGGCGGCGTTGGGGACCCGCGGCCTGCGCGTGGTGGTCCCGCACGACGTGGGCCTCACCATCCTCAAGGGCGCCGTGCTCTTCGGGCAGGCCCCCGGCGTGGTGCGGGTGCGCCGCTCGCCGCTCACCTACGGGGTGGGCGTGCTCAACCGGTTCGTGGCTGGGCGCCACCCGCCGGACAAGCTGCTGGTTCGCGACGGCCGCCGCTGGTGCACCGACGTCTTTGAGCGCTTCGTGGCGGCCGAGCAGTCTGTGGCCCTGGGCGAGGAGGTGCGGCGCAGCTACTGCCCCGCGCGCCCCGGCCAGCGGCGCGTGCTCATCAACCTGTACTGCTGCGCCGCCGAGGACGCGCGCTTCATCACCGACCCCGGCGTGCGCAAGTGCGGCGCGCTCAGCCTCGAGCTCGAGCCGGCCGAGGGGGTCCCCGACGGCGCGGGCGTGCCCCCTGGCCGCCGCGAGATCCGCGCCGCCATGCAGTTTGGCGACACCGAGATTAAGGTTACCGCCGTCGACGTCAGCACCAACCGCTCGGTGCGCGCCACCATCGACTTCCTTTCCAATTGAGGGTGCGCGGGCGCGGCGTCAGCCCCTCGCCGGCCCCGCCCTCTCCCGGGCCGGGGTCGGAGGCACGCGCCGGGGCGGAGGAACCCGAGGTCGGCGCCCGCTCCCGCCTTCTGCCCAGGGGGGCACCAGGTGAACGGGAGGATGGACGAGGACGCGTCCAGAAACGCCGGCTTTGCTTGGGGCTGCAGGGCCCTGCCCAGGACTGAAGTCGGGGCGCCTTGGCAGTCTCGGACGGCACGCCCACGGGGGGCACGTGACCCGGAAGGCGCGCGGGCTGAAGTGGGGGTGGGGTGGGGGTGGAGCGCTTGGGCGAGGCCCGGCGGAGTCGCGGCGGGAGGGCGGCCGCGCACTGACTGATGGGCTCGGGCCGAAGCGGGCGGAGCGGCCCCGGGCCACAGAGAGGGGGCTGGAGGCTGACCACCCCCTTGGCTGTTCACTGTAAAAGGGGCGGTGGCAGGCCGAAGTGGCTACAGGGTGAAGGTTAGAAGGGATGTGGAGGTAGCACGCGGGGAGGGGGCGTCCTTCAGGGCAAATGGCCATCTGGGAAGGCCTCAAGAGCAACCTAGAAACGCCCCATTTGCACCTATCCCAGCCACCGGAGGGCGAGGGTGGCAAGGACAGCAGGCGCTGAGGGCTGGCCCAGCTCTGTTGTCCACTGGGTGTGCCATTACCAGGTGCTCTGCCCAGCCGCACGTGCAGCAGCCCCACCTGCCTGAGAACCCTAAAGTGACAATAAAGCATTTATGCTCTAGGTGAGGCTTTGTGGTCTGCGGTACCTCACAAGAGGGGACCTCGATAGTTGAGTAGTGCAGAGGGCTGACAGCTAACCAGAAGGGAGCGCTGCAGTCTCCCAGCAAGCAACCTCAACAGAACTACCCAGCTTGGTAAGACCTTGCTTAGATGTGAGAGAAGGTCCTTCCCCACCCAAATTCAGTGCCACAGCTGTACCCAGGCCCAAAATGCCACCACCTGTGCAGACCTCTTTTGGGGGTTAAGCACGGTAGTACCATTCGGCGCCCTCGTCTCCTAAAAGTTTAGCCAAAACCTCCTTGGTCCATCGGTGAGGGTTTGGCCTTTTGGGGGCCCCAAGAACAAAAATCCCACTGGCCTCTGGTAGCCACTGAAAGTTTATTTCTTTAGGGGTTTATCCAAACCAGTCATTTAAAAACCAAGTAGCACAGACCTGTGGGGTGGAGTAAGGGCTGCACCTCCTTCCTACTCACCGTGGACATCATGGGAAAGAGGGAGGGGACAGAAGAGGTGGCCAAAGCGAGACAGCAGCAGCAGAAATGGGGGCAGTGACCTCACAGCCAGCTCCCTCCTCTCACAAGCCCTGGCTGGAGCCCCTATGGCTTGGGGTGGGCCTGCCCTCCTCCCCCACCCTCTTCAGAGAGCCTCCTTGGGGGCTCAGCCCATTCCTCAGGCAGGAGACCGAGGCACACAGAGAGGCAGGGGCGGCACAAATGAAGGCAGAGGTGAGGCGTGGGCGAGGCCTGGCTTGGAGGCCCCTGGACACTCCATCCCCACACCTCCCCAGGGAGGGGGAGGAAGCCACACCAGCATGTAGCCACCGTGGGGAGACAAAGTGGGGTTTAAGGCTGAGGGGCCCCAAGGCAGGCGGGGGCACGGCCTCAGTCAAAGCCGTGCCAGTCGCTGTGCTCCGAGTCGTATTCCAGCTCAGCGCCCACACACTTGACGCCGTCCAGCAGCATGGGTGTGCCGTGGTGCCGGTCTGCAAGGCAGGCGACAGGTCCGCATGCCAGGCTGGACCCAGGGCCCCGACCCATACCAAGGGGACCTCTACCCCGCCCCTCTGGACTCTGTGAGTGGGGAAAAAGGCACTGGCCATGAAAATTGGGAACCCCAGGCCAGAGCAAGGATTATCTTTACAGACAGGCTTCCAGGGAGACAGAAACCCTTGGTGGCCAAACTGCCTCCCTCCTCCTGCCAGACCGCGCCCTGTGTTCTCACCCATAACGCGTGCCTGCACCATCACTCGCACGCAGGTGCCGGTGCCACCTTCGCAGGCGAGCAGCATCTCCTCCTTAAGGACGCCCTCCTTGTGTGCTAAGTACTCACACTTGACGCTGTAACCTGCCCAGGGGGATCAGCATCTCCATGTCCCCGTGCCCCCCAGCACCCACTGACCTCCACCCGCTGCTCTGGCTGCCTCCTGCAAAGGAGCACAGATGGCGCAAGATCCAGCCCACCCCCCAGTGCTGGGCACACCACCCCAGGAACCTCCAGCCCAAGGGCCATCCCATATAGCTCCAGGCTCAAACTCGGACTCCTTTTAGGATTTCCCAAAGGAGGGCAGGGAGAGATGATGGGAAGAAGGGGGGCTACAGGACAGCCTTGAGAGATCAGGTAGCAGGAGGCAAAGGTCAGTCTACTTAAGAGCAAGATCATGAGAAGATTGAAGGGCATGAGACTGAGGCTTTTGCTGTCTCAAAACAGACATCTTGGTCTCTGCCAGGCAAAGGAAGAGGGGCCTGAAGCAGCCAGGAGTTAGTACCCAAAGTTCCTGTGGCTTTAGCAGGAGTTGCTTGTGGGGCAGGGGGTGGGAGGACTAAGGTGCTCCCCAGATGGCCTGTGCAGGCTGACATATGAGCCCACAGGCTTCAGCCAATGGGAGGCCTGGGGGTGGGACCTGCCAGGCTGCCCCACTGCAAGCCCATGAAGAGGTATGTTTTCCAACTTGCTGAGCTGCCCAAACCTCCTAGGTAGGGGGTTCACAAGGGAGAACCCCATCTCTCACTCCCACCCACACCCTGCTGGAAGACAGGTCTCCAGAGCCTGAGCAGGAAACCCACCTTCTGGGATGGGCATGATGCTGAGGAGCTTGAGATGTATGCTGGGGACAGGTGCCTCTCTGATGTCCTTGCTCAGCCTGTGCACCGGGGGCAGAGTGAAGGTAATCTCATACCTGTGTAGGATCTTCAGGAAGCCAACCTGCAACGGGGTGGGGCAAGGAGGCGCCTTCATTTACAGCCTCCCCCAGGGACTGCCCAGGTGTGCCACCTAGGGGCCCTGTACCTGTTTTCTTGGATCCCAGGGGAGCTTAACTCCCTCTCCTACTCCAGCCGGCCCCTCACCCTCACCCCGGTGGCTCCAGGTGGTTCCCATGAGCGCCTGATGCCCACTGCTCAACACAATTGTCAGCATCTGTCTCGCGGGAGCCATGGCTTCTTGTTGGCACATTTAATAAACAAGGTAATGGAAGCCAAGAAATGCCTGGCTAAAGCTCTTACAATAGTGGCCGGGCCTTCCCTGGACCACTTGGCCAACCCTGCTGCAAGCAGCACACTGCCAGAGGCACAAGCCTCTGCCCACAAGAGGCGCCAAGGCCCCACAACACATCTCCCAGCATCTGCCCAGAGCCAGCAGTGGTGCTCTCTAGTCACTCTCACCAGGCAACACGGGCAGCCCAGCATGAAGGGTAGGGCAGAATTAGAGACACAGACCTGAGACCAGCTGTGTCAGTCTGGAGTAGCCCACAGGCCTGGTATTAGCTAGCATGTGAACATAGATGCCCACCTGCCCACAAAGGCCACTGTGCCCCATGGCCCACAACCAAGGCGATTTCTGCTCTTCGTACACAGTGCTTGGCAACCGGTGCCCTGGGAGACTGCTGCCATCCATGGAACTCTAGTGGTGTGGAGGGTCACAACCTAGGTTGTCTGCAGATCAGGCGGGCTGATCCCTGTCTCAGAGTGTAGAAGTGCAAGCTGTCCCCAATACTCCTGTCACATGCCAGGGCTGGAGAGCCCTGTCCCTGGGCCCCGGCTGGGCTGCTGTGAAGAGCATTCAGCCTTGCAGTGCAATTGAGGTGACATCACTGTGGGCTCAAGTACAGTCCCTGTGGCCCCAGCTCTGCTGGCGGGGGGCACACCTCTTGAGAGAGCTTCTGACTGTTCCTGCCAATTGTCACCCTCTGACCCAGCTGCACCACATACCAAATTTTCCAAGGGAAATACTCAGATGTGAGAAAAGGAACCCATGACTGCCCTATTTATAACAGTGAGAATAAAAAGAACCGTAACACCAGGAATAGGGAACCAACTAAATCAGTGTTGAGACGCATAATGGAATACCAGGCAGTTGTAAAATTTCGTGGAGGACTATTTACTAACACAGGCAGGAGTTGGTTCACAACAGATGTAAACAAGTAGTAGCATGTACACGGTGATCAGCTTTTTGTTTTTGGAAACAAGCTTAAAAAACAAAACACAACTAGGGCAACACATATCAGAATATTAACCAGGGTTTTTTCTGGATGGTGTGATTGTGTCTTTTGAGTTTCTTTATGTTTTTCTCTATCTTCCAAATTTCCTCTAATTAACATAGATAAATACTGCCCGGAGGACACACCTCTTTTTAAAAGTTTTGGTTCACTGTTTATTCCCTTGGGGATGCTAACAGCTGTAGGAAAAGACCAAGGATTTGAGTTGAGCTGAAGTGGGGCTGAATCTGGGCCCTTTTCAGGGTGGGGCTGCAGGGCTCCCCCTCCACGTGGTCTCAATGGGCCACACACCTTTCCCGAGCGGGCACTCGGCCCAACTCTGGAGTCCTGGCTTGTTGTCCAGCCTCAGGGCCTCCCTCATCCGCTACCCTCGTCTGTCCCTCCAGAGACCCCCTCCTGCCTCTCCCAAGTGGGGGGGAATCCCACCATGTCCTAGCAGTTGGAGGCGCACGTGAAGTGTGACCCCCAGGAGAGCAGGTCACTCCACCAAGCAGGCAGCAGGGAGGAGCTACCTAAATACTACGGCCAGAGGCGTGGTAGGAGGGACAAAGCAGTCACACCTTGATGGCAGCACCGCTGGCCTCATGCCATTTCATTCTCACCCCAACTCTATGAGGTGTGCACTACCCCACACTCACTGCACAGAGGAGGAAAGGGACAGTTTGCCCAAGTCGCAGAGCGGAACAGCGGCCTGTGCTCGGATGCAGGCCTTTGCACCACAGCCTTGACCCTGCTTCCACTGCTGCGTGGGATGACATGGGTAAAACGGCTCCAAAATGCGCCCCTCTCACTGCCATCTCACCCCCACCTCTTTCCAGATGAACAAACTATGGTCCAGGATAGGAGGTGCCTATGAACCCCACTTAGAGGAAACCGACAGACCAGGAAGCCAGACAGGGCCACAAAGGAAGTGGAGTGAGTCAGGCTAGAGATGGGGGTGGGGTGTGTGTACCTTGACCAGAAAGCTGCTGTCGCTCTCCTGGGTGACCATTACCACCGAGTCATGCAGCTTATCATCAAAGTGAACGTGGCTCTGGGAGCTTTCTGCATCGTGGTCGGCTGCAAAGTGGATGCTCCGGACTCTGGGCTTGGTGCCTAGGAGGGTGGGAGAGGGCCCCAGAGCTGCAGAAACCCCAGGAAACCACTCCTGTCATCTCCCCAACTCCCTGCCACTGCCCTTGGCACCACCCGGCACCCAGGGGCTGAGCTCCCTCCAGGGCTAGGCTGCCTCTTACAGACGCTGGAGATCATGAGGCTTGAGGCCCTGTTTCCTGCTCAGTCTCCCACAAAAACCGCCAACCCAGAGAGGGAACAAGAGAGATCCAGGGGTTGGCTGACATGACTTCCCTGAGATGAGGTCATGCCAGAGACAGAAAGAGACAGGTTCCCAGGCCCTCAGCAAGCCCCAGGCAGTGCAGGTCTCAGTCGGCCTCTAGACTGCTCACTTCACATGCCAAGCTCCTCTTCTCTGGGATCTTCCATTCCAGGTCTGCCAGTGTCTGAGCCTCTTGCTCCCCCTCTTGAAAAACCCAACCTGGAAGCGGGTAGGAGGGTGGGGAGTAGAGGCAGGACAGGTCCATAGGGCCTGCCTGGTGGTAGGAGAAACACGGGAGCCAAAAAGCTCTCCACCTACCTCTAGTCCTCATCACTGATCACTAACTACCAAATAAGTGGAGAACCCCAGGGGCCTCCCGGACCCCTTCCAG